AGTTCAGTTCAGTCCAGTCGCTCAGTCATGTCCAACTCTTTGCAACCCCACAAACCACAGCATGCCAGGCCTCCCTGTCCATCACCAATTCCCAGAGTCCACCCAAACCCATGTCCATCGAATTGGTGATGCCATCCAACCATCTCATCCTCTGGTGTCCCCTTCTCCTCCTGCCCTCAATCTTTCCCAGCATCAGGGTCTTTTCACATGAGTCAGCTCTTCGCATCAGGTGGCCAAAATATTGGAGTTTCAGCTTCAACATCAGTCCTACCAATGAATATTCACGACTGATTTCATTTAGGATGGACTGATTGGATCTCCTTGCAGTCCAATGGACTCTCAAGAGTCTTCTCCAGCACTACAGTTCAAAAGCATCAATTCTTTGGCGCTCAGCTTTCTTTATACTACAACTCTCACATCCATACATGACCACTGGAAAAACCATAGCCTTGACTAGATGGACCTTTGTTGGCAAAGTAGTGTCTCTGCTTTTTAATATGCTATCTAGGTTGGTCATAACTTTCTTTCCAAGGAGTAAGCGTCTTTTAATTCATGGCTGCAATCAGCATCTGCAGTGATTTGGGAGTCCAGAAAAATAAAGTCTGCCACTGTTTCCACTGTTTCCCCATCTATTTGCCATGAAGTGATGGGACCAGATGCCATGATCTTAGTTTTCTGAAGGTTGAGGTTTAAACCAACTTTTTCACTCTCCTCTTTCACTTTCATCAAGAGGCTCTTTAGTTCTTCACTTTCTGCCATAAGGGTGGTGTCATCTGCATATCTGAGGTTATTGATATTTCTCCTGGCAATCTTGATTCCAGCTTGTGCTTCCTCCAGCCCTGCGTTTCTCATGATGTACTCTGCATATAAGTTAAATAAGCAGTGTGACAATATACAGCCTTGACATACTCCTTTTCCTATTTGGAACCAGTCTGTGTTCCATATCCAGTTCTAACTGTTGCTTCCTGACCTTCATACAGGTTTCTCAAGAGGCAGGTCAGGTGGTCTGATATTCTCATCTCTTTCAGAATTTTCCACAGTTTATTGTGATCCACACAGTCAAAGGCTTTGGCATAGTCAATAAAGCAGAAATGGATGTTTTTCTGGAACTCTCTTGCTTTTTCGATGATCCATTGGATGCTGGCAATTTGATCTCTGGTTCCTCTGCCTTTTCTAAAACCAGTTTGAACATCTAGATTTTACGGTTCCTGTTAGACTCTTTAGTGACCCCATGGACTGTAGCCAGGCTCTTCCATTCATGAGATTTTCCAGGTAAGAATACTGGAGTCGGTTGCCATTTCCTTGTCTAGGGTATCTTCGAAACCCAGGGATCAAACCCAGGTCTCCTGCATTGCAGGCAGATTCTTTACCATCTCAGCTACAGTGTTAAAGAACCCACCTGCCAGTTCAGGAGAGGCGGGTTTGATCCTTGGGTCAGGAAGATCCCCTGGAGCAAGGAATGGTAAACCACTTCAGTATTCTTGCCTGGAGAATTCCATGGACAGAGGAGCCTGGTCCATGGGGTCACAAAGAGTCGGAGACGACCGAGCTACTAACATATTCTTTACCACTGAGCTACCTGGGTAGCCCAGTTGTGTGTTTTCATCAGAAATAATTCAATCCCTTTCCCCTCAAGAGTGAATTAAGACTGGGAATGAGATCCTAGCCTTGGGTGGAACCAGCAGCTACAATTGGTAGGAGGGACGGGCTAGTGGGGTGGGCGGTTCCTTTTTCTTTCAAGCTTCCTAGATTGTTTTGAACTTTTGACTTTGGCGGTCACACAAGCAAAACCGGGCAGGGTACGCGGTGGGCCTGCGGAAACCGGCGAGGAGAGCAGGGCCGGGAGGGGACCCTGGCAGGGCCGGGGCGGGGTCGTGGGCGCCCGGTACACTTGCGCTGGGTTGGAACGGCTAGCCGCTGGCCCACCGGAAGTCCTACGTCCTGGAGCGCCGGTCCTCGGCAGCGGCGGGTGAGTAAGGGCAGCGGGGAGTTGAGCTCGCGGTGGTGGAGGCTAGTGAAAGGTTTGTCCCGCGGTCTTCCGCCCCTGACCTCGGCAGGCGAGGGGAGCATCGCGCCCCGAGTCCTGGCGGTTTCCAAGCCCTGGGGGCCCCTGGGGAAACCTGGACTACTCGGGGTGGGTGCAGCGACCACTCACTCCCTGGGGATTCGGCCCAGAGCACGGGCTGCCAGCACGTGTTGAACAAGTCGGGGTCCCAGCAACGAGGTTTCGGGGCAGACGGGCATCGGCCAGTGCAGTTCCCGTCAGCGGGACCCGTTCAGTGGGTATTGAGGAGCGGGCCACGCAATCGTGAGCGAAACTCTCTGTCCCTGCCCGCGGGAGCCTCCGAGGCTGGGGTCCGAGGCCCGGCGCGCAGTGGCTGGAGGTGAGCGCTGTGGGCCCGCGATTTGACCCGGCAGAGCTAGGACCGAGCAGAGACCCGAAGACCGGATGAGAAGGGCGAAGGCCCGAGGGTCGTTCTGCCTGGCCGGAGGGCAGAAAACTCCAGTGGCTGAAGCAGCGGCGAGGGCGGACCCCCGAAGCCTGGAGGGTGTGTTGGGGGTTTCAGTGGTTCTCAGAATCGCTACGGGAAACAATGGACGGGTTTGGGGTTAGAGATCCGGTGGACTCAGAGCACTGGAAAATGGCGACACATTCCCTCGAGGGGTTTACGTTCTTGGAAGGGCGGGGACGGGCCCTGAACTGATAAACAGGTCTGCGCCTAGAGTCATAAGTTATCCCAGCCGCTTTGCACTACCCGGCCAACCGGTTTGAGCTCTGGGGCGAGTGGATGTAGAAAGTACTATCGAGGTCAACGTGCCAGGGGCAGGCGGCAGCGGCCAGAAATTAAGACTCCATAGTCATGCTCTCTCCCCAAACCAGACAACCAGCCTAGAATCTGGATCGAGCGCCCCTGGCCACCACCCCCAGCAAATGCTTTTGAGAAAGACTTAACAAGGGCGGGTCTTTCCTGAGGGAAAACAAGAGAGCCAGAACTTTGAGGATACGATTATAGAGACTTTTGAAGTGTTACTTTTACTGTGTTCCACGGGCTAGTAGAATAATCCAGACTTGCACCATCTCACCGCTTGATTGTGCTTGAAGCGAAGGGAGGGAGGGACCAACTTCACCTCTTAGGAAAAGCACCTTTCCTGTCAGCTTTCTTTTTAGCAATCCTATTAACTTCATCGTTGAACGCCCTTTGCCTTTCTGGCATTTTCAATTCTACCACCTTTCAAAAAAGTGAAAGGAAGAACGTCAACAGGTTTAAGTCTTCATTCTTTTCATTCCATTCATTCCATCTGGAGGGAGGCCTAGCGGGGTGAGTGGCAGTCCGCAGGAGGAGGTGGGAGTTCCGCCATGTTTGGGCAGAGCAGGAACTTCCCCGGTTGGATTGCAGCTCCAGCGCTGGCCCCCTGGGAGCCCTGTGTAAGTGTTGGTTGTTGGGCTGTTACCTTTCTTTCTTTTTTTTTTTTTAACTGTTGTTAAACTAACTCTGCTGCGAGGTATGCAGGATCCCCATCAGGGATCAAGCCTGGACTTTTAACCACCAGACCAACAGGGAAAGTCCCTCCCTTATCATTCTTTACAAGGATCTGTATGTATTAAAAATTCACAAAATCATCTTAGATGGGATCTTAGAGAGTCTCTTTAATCTTATTTTCCAGTAAAACCACATCAGAATGAAGACACTTGCACAAGGCTGTTTGTGACAGAACCAGAGCTGGTTACCTGAGGCATATGCTTTCTTTCCAGAATACCATACTGCCACCTTAGAGGGGTCTTTGGGACAGCGGGAATCTTGTCCTCGGTGATAGAGTCCAGGCTTTGAACGCTAACTCTGCTGTGGACTGGGAGCATCCCTGAGCACATTACCTAGCCTCTCTGTACTTTAGATGACTTAAAATGGGGTTATTAATCATGACCTCATGAGGCAGTACTGAGAAGTGTTAGGTACAAATCAGGGGTTCAATAACTTGGTGTTTCCTGACCAAATTAGGAAGCTGTTATTCCTCATTCCCCCTCTTGCTGATAAGTTTTGTTTCTCTCTGACCTCAGGTTCCTGGAGGTGGGGAGCAACTAGAAGCGGGGTGAAGCAGAAGGCAGACGACACCTGCAGAGCTGGCATTACTGAAGAGTGACTGCTGAGCCAAGGGGGACCAGGTCCCTGCACTCTGTGGGGCTTGAAGGGAATCAAAGGTGTTCTCAGTTGTGAAAGAGGAGAGTTTGGATAGCAGAACAAAAAAGGAAGATAGCCCCCTGGAGCAGATACCTTTGACATAGGAGGCCAGTTCAAACCCTTTGCAAAGGCCTTTGCCAAGTCTCTCTATCTGCTCAGTCGCTGGAAGGTAGATAGCCCCAGGATGGAGCCTAGTCAGCCTTGCGGGCCAGGACAGGCATGGATAAAGCTAAAAACAGACAGCATGGAAGAGAAGGTGTCTGACCAGCCGAAGCCAGTGGAACCTGTACAGAAGCTGCTCCCTCAGGTGGATGAGGAGGACCTGCTGAAAGCCCAGAAGGGAGAGTGCTGGTGGAAGATGTGGGTGAAGGTGAGGAGACGAAGCCAGAGGGAGGGAGGGAGGGCCTGGGTCCTGGACTCCAGGAGCTCTTTCATCCATTATCCTGTCAGCAGACCAAATGGAATCTCAGAGAGTTCCAAGCTGAAAAGCATCCAGGAGAAGGGGCTTTGAGTCCTTTTTTCAGATTCCACACCAGCCTGGAATCCTTCACGACTACTTGCTGAAATTCATCAGAGTGGCAGGCTTTCATCCTGCCTACTTGTACATTTAGTACATACCCCTCCCTTCTCCCCCTGCATTGTTCTCCCTTCCTCTCCACCCTTCCTTTCCTGTTTGTACATTAAAGTTGCTGATTTTGTGCTTGTCTTTTCCTATTTCTTCCCTCTTTCCATGGTTTTCCTTTTCTCTTAGTGTTCTGAATCTTTAGACTGGATGTCTGTCTGTCTGTATACAAACTCCCTGAATCTTTCCTATTCTTCCAGAAGCCAGTCACCTTTGAGGATGTGGCAGTGACCTTTACCCAGGAAGAGTGGAAATGTCTAGATGCCAGTCAGAGGGTCCTCTACCAGGATGTTATATCAGAGACTGTCAGAAACCTGATGTCTGTGGGTAAGAGGCTGGGGTTCCTCACAAGCTCTCTGTTCCAGGCCTTTGGGACATCTGGTTTCCCTGGATAGGTAGATCAGCTCACAATTATCTTCACTGATCCTTGGTTTTGGTTCTTTATGTTCCAGGTGGGAAAGATTTGGGTTACTAGGCTCAGGGTGAAAGAAGGAATGAAAGCTTGCATGCAGGCAAAGATAACACTTGTAACATGATAACAATGTTTTCAAAGAATGCAAATCTGCCTATTCATCCAATCAGTATTTACTGAGCCACTTGTCTTCCCTGGTGGCTCAGCTGGTAAAGAATCTGCCCTCAGTGCGGGAGACCTGGGTTCGATCCCTGGGTTGGGAAGATCCCCTGGAGAAGGGAAAGGCTACCCACTCCAGTATTTTGGCCTGGAGAATTCCATGGACTGTATAGTCCATGGGGTCACAGAGAATCACGACTGAGCGACTTTCACTCACTCATTCACTCACTTGTCTTATGTACCCAGCACTTTGTTGGAATCTGGAATCTGGCGTTTTGCATGTCTCCTCCTAGCACTTAAGTGTCCCAGATTATGGCTCTTAAACCACAGATATGCAAGAAGGGAGCCTGTTGTCCCCATGAGGTGTGAAGGGGCTGAGCCTGGGACCTCAGCTCTTCCTCTCCTTCCCATCCCCCAGACGGAATCTTTCTGTCTAATCTAGATCTGATCGCCAAGCTTGAGCAAGAAGAGAAACAGTGGGAAGCAGATCTCTGTTCCCCGAATGGAGAAGGCTTTCATTCAGGTGAGAATTGCAAAGGAGAGAGGAGGGTGAAAAGGGCCCAGGACATGCCTCAGGAGGATGGAAATGAAATGCCTGAGAGGAACAGGGCTCTGAATACCTGGTCCTAGCTTGCATGCTTCCTGCCTGGACATCATCTGCTCAAGTCCCCTGGCTTCAAGAAGATGAGTATCTGAGCCTTTTGGGATGAGTGAATATCTTCAGTTTCCAGAGACAGAGAGATTCCATGTCAGCTGCTTATGACAGCAATAGCCTCTTGATTAAAAAGTCCTTCCCAGGAGAAAAAGACAGGGATGGGAGATAAACTTGATGCTGAGTTGCACTAAAGATGACTTGTTCCTGAGAGTAGAATAAGGACTTGAGAGAAATTTAAGTCTGAGCTGACCCCACTCCTGGTTTGCCGGGACAGTTCTGGTTTATGCTTCTCACCTTAGCTCGATTCTTAATAGCACCTCTGGTCACCCAAGTGTCCCAATCCTCATGATATATTATGAGGTCACCTGTGGGTATCTGGGGTGTCTGGGAGTTTGATCAATATTGAAAATGAGAGGAATTAGCACATATTGTAAATAAACTATACTTCAGTTATTGAAAAAAGAAAATGAAAAGAAATGGATTTCAAGAAATGTGGTTAAAATTTTGATCTTCAATATTGTTGGAAGATTCCAGTTAAATTTTTATTTGCTTTTAATTTGAAAACCCAAAAGTTTACTCTTATCTCTGGTCTCTGAGGTATAAGAGTGAGGGTGAATGTCGGGTGGGAGAGGAAGCAGTGTGGACTGAGCAGAGAGCTGTGTCAGGGCTGTCATGATGAATCCCATCTTTTTTCTTGTTCCCTCCAGGAGGCAAGAAGGAAGGATGCCAAGAACAGAGTCAGAGTTTGGGAGATGAAGGGACTGTTGAGGACAAGAAGGCCTCCCTTGATCACAGAGGCTCAGGCCCAACCTCTCCTCCAACTGGGTCCCCGGACAAGACGCCAGCATTGCCAGAATCCTGGGCTCGGCCAGCCTTTACCTGTCACACCTGTGGCAAGTGCTTCAGCAAGCGCTCCAGCCTCTACAACCACCAGCTTGTTCATAACAGCGCCCATTGTGGGAAGTCCTTCCAGAACCCCAAGGACCTCAGCTCCAGCCGGCGCAAGCAACTCAGGGAGAGGCCCTTCCGCTGCTCACTCTGTGGCAAGACCTACTGCGATGCTTCTGGACTGAGCCGTCACCGCCGTGTCCATCTGGGCTACCGGCCCCACGCATGCCCCTTCTGTGGGAAGTGCTTCCGGGACCAGTCTGAGCTCAAACGCCACCAGAAGACACATCAAGGCCAGAAGCTGGGGGCTGGAAACCAGAAGCATATTGTGAGGACTCCGGATACCAGAGCTGGATTACAGGGGCTGGCAACAGGGAACCACGCACCAGTGGCTGGGACCCAAGGACCCACACTTAAAACCAAGGGTCCCCAGACTCAGCCCCAGCCGTCAATAGACAGGAACCAGGCACCTGCCACCAAGAACCTGGTAACCACTGTGAGAGCTCAGGCCCCAGTTATTACGGCCCCGGAGCCTGTGACCAGAACCCCAGTCCCAGAGCCTGTGACCAGAACCCTGGCAGCCAACATGCGAGCCACCCGGATGAATACCAAGTCCAACTCTCACCCAGAGAAGCCTTCAAGACGCAAGGTCTTCTCTTGCCCTCATTGTCCCTTGACTTTTAGCAAGAAAACCCGTCTCTCCAGTCATCAGAAGGTCCATTTCACAGAGCAGTCCAACTGCTGCTTCCACTGTGGCAAGTCCTTCACTTTATTCTCCGGGCTGATCCGGCACCAGCAGACTCATTGGAAGCAGAGGATCTACTGTTGCCCTATCTGTGACGTCTGCTTTGGGGAGAAAGAGGACCTTTTGGGTCACTGGGGGGGCTACAGAAGCAAGGGGCTGTTCCTGGGCAGTCCCCACAAGTGCTGGGCCATCCTGGGTCAGTGGCTCGGCTTCTTTCCTAATGCCTCTGCTGTGGCAGGGAAGGAAATGGATCTTTCTCCTGGATCTAGACCCTCAGGAAAGGGGAGGAAGGGAGAGGAAAAGGCATGCAGAAGAAAGAAAGAGAAGGCAGTGAAGGTCTTGGAAGGGAAATGAATGGCCTGTCCGCCCGAGGTCTTTCTCTGTTTGGTTTTCCAGAGGAATGACCTCCAGGGTAAGGAGACTGGGATAGAGGAAGAGAGGTGAGGGGATAGTGGAGGACATACAGAAAGGAAAGGGGACAAGAAGTGGCACTTGGAAACTTGTATTGTTATTAATTAGCACCTAGCTTGTTTCTTTGTGTCTGATAGACCATCAAGTAGAAATTGTTCAAAAAGACAGTGGATCTCCAATAGGTATGAAGATGGGAGGGAAAGGATGAGAGAAGGGGAAGTCTGAGGGGCCCATCTGGAGGGGTATGAAAGTAGAAGGGAGGTGTTTGAAAGCAGGTGTGTTACTCCCTTCTCATCCCTTGCTCCCCTGGCTCCTCGCTGAGCCGCCCAGACAAGATGGAGCTCTGGCCAGCACTCTATGGGTTTCTCCCCAGGTCCTCACTCCGCAGGTCACTTGGCTCTCTCTTGGATATTGTGGACTTTTCCTGCACCTTCTCTTCAACCCTTCACACCCCTCAGCTCTGCCTACCAGGGCTGAGATCTTGGAAGAAATGACCACCATTTGCAAAGCTGATGTGTTGTAATTTGCAACGAGGAGGTTCCTGGTCTCCATTTCATGGCAGAGACCCTCTTGTCTTCGTTACTCTGCAGCACAGGTGTCCTCTGACAGAAGAACACCTGCCTGGCTATAGCCCGAGAAGACTTCCAGGTGGAAGACAAACCAAGGAGCAGAACGATGTGGGCAGCAAAAAGGGGGAGAGGAAGGAAGGAGCTGGGGAAAGGGACAGACAAGGTAATGACAGAAGAGAAGTCGATCCTGTTTGGAATTCAGAGCATTCCTGAAGTGCAGATTGCAATGTCCCCGCAGCGAAGAGGGAGGCCAGTGAATGTGCAACTCAATGGATGTGACATCCCAAGGACTGATCCTTGGACCAGCCAGGCTCTTCTGCATCTCAGCCAAGATGTGGTGTCCTTCAGAAGGGGTTTCCTAGAAGGAGGAGAAAATAACTTGAAAAAGCTGTCAACATTTTCTGTCATGAAACTGTTAAACCAGAGAGAAGACAGACCCTGAGGAGTCACCCAGCATCAGAGGTGAGGCTCGGAGCAGCTGCTGGAGGGCATGAATGAACGAATGGGAAAGGAGGCAGTAGGAGTGGGATTCCTGATAGTGGGGCTCATAGCTGGGGCAGATCAGCCAGCAGATTAGAGTGCCTTCAGCTCCCATCGCCCAGGAGACATCCCTCCACCCAGGCTTGCCAGTCCCGTCCTTTCCTCTTGGATTTTGATCCCTCAGTAGCCCCCTCTTCCCCTTGCTGCTGCTCTCTCTCTATTTTGCTCTCAGCTTATAAGAAAGTGAAAAAAACTTACTTAGCTCTTCAAGAAATTGCCCTGAAAACAAAGAGAAATAGGTGATGAGCAGAAGATGACTGGCTCCTCCCACATCCTCCCTGTGGACTTTGTAATCATGCCCTTCCCCCCTTCCACTAAGACAGCCCTCAGATCTCAATAAGTGGTTCACTTCTTGGATTCTCTGAGGAGCCTGGGGTTGGCCTTGGGGACAGAGCAGGAAGGACATTCCGGCTCTGAATCTTGAACCCTGCTCCCATCCACCCTCTTTATGTTTCCCGTTCAGGGCTGGCTTGGTCCCTCCAGCTCAGCGGTCCTGTCTGCGGCCCCAACACTGTACCTGCTAGTCTGCGGTGTAGCCAGTTATAGCAGATGATCAAGGCCACCAGGGGTCCGAGAACCGGCACGATGACAAATAGGGTTATCTTCCAGCAGGGCACCATCAGGAAGTGGGGATCTGAATTATTTGCCACAAAACAAACAGGATTAACATGTGTCCCCCCCTTGTGTCCCACCCACCCCCTCCCTTTATTATTGCCTTTCTTTGGGATTGGGGGTTCTTAACCTGGGTCCCAAAATAGTTTGGATAGAATCCAGGGAGTTCATGAATTTGCATGAGAAAAGCACTACATTTTTATTTTCACTAACTTCAAACTGAATTTAGCTTTTTCTTCCTGAAAAAGGACTGTAGGTAACAAATCAGTTATCAGTGGTACCTGTGGCTTTATCAGCAATGGAAACAGCATTCCCATCAGAGTTGTTTCTGAAGTCTCAAAATACTGTTTATCAATATTTTGAAATACCAGATTGTTAGACTTGCCAGTACATTTTATTATTTAATCTATAGTTTTGTTATTTAAAGAAACATTGGTTACTTTAATCACAAATTTGTTTATATTGCAATAACTTTCAAAACAGTGGTATTCTTTGTAATCATATGGGTTTTATTTTATGTGTACATTTCAAAACATTCTGGGAAGGGAGAGGTTCATGAGGTTTCACCAGACTATTGAAGAGTACAGTTAAGACCTTTGTTATTTGAATTCTGTAAAACAAAGATCTTGGTCCTCCCCTTTGAGTTGGAAACTGTGTGTTTTTTTCTACACACTGATTAAATGCCAGGGTGGAGTCAGGGACACCTCCAGCCTTCAGAAGCAAAGGCTGTTGGGGAAGGCTGCTCAGGGCAGGGACCATATTAAAATTTCTGCAACATCCACTCAACAAGTATTTGGGTGCCCTTCTGTTGTAGGCATTGTCCTTAGGCACTAGATGATCTGCAGTGAACAAAAAGGACAGAAACCATGGCCTTGGGCCAACCTTTTTTTTTTTCCCTGCTGTGGCATGCAGGATCTTAGTTCCCCCACCAGGGATCAAACCCGTATCCCCCTACAGTGGAAGTGCAGTCTTCTGCAGTGGACTGCCAGGGAAGTCCAGGCCAACATTCTGAGGGGGGGGGGGTGTCTTCACTTCCCCCACTAAGTCTTCCCTGAGGAGTCAGTTACTTATTCTGCACTCATGAAAACTCATTTTTCCTCGTGATTTGTCAATGATGTATATGTACTTTCGTTCGCCAGTTAATTTATGTGTATGTATCACTTCCCCAACTAGACATCAAATTGATGTGCAAAGGCTCTGTTTACCTCTCCTTTCTAATTCCTGAAAAAATAAATCATGTACGTAAAGTATTTGTAATTCCTAGAGTGAGTTAACTTTGGGAAGCTGTTAGTTATAGTACCACACATGAAAGTGTGTGCTTGTGAGCTCAGTCATGTCCAACTCTTTCCGACCCATGGACTGTAGCCTGCCTGGTCCCTCTCTGCCTGTGGGGTCTTCCAGGCAAGAATACTGAAGTGAGTTGTTATTTCCTCCTCTAGTGATCTTCCCGACCTAAGGATCGAACCCACATCTCCTGCATTGCCGGCAGATTCTTTATCACTGAGCCACCTGGGAAGCTCTAAGTGTTATTAATTAATAATGCTATTATCTAACCAATCTTAGATGCAGACAGTGACATTCAAAGAAAGAACAAGAGAGGGAGAAAACCAACCAGGAGCCGGGGGTCGTTTTGTCCCCAGGTGACAGGAGTCTTGTGAAACACCAAGCTGACCTGGGGGGCTGGGTATCCCAGAACTTACCAAAAGTCCGGTGGAGATTCTCTGAAAGAAGAAAAAATGCAAATGAACTTAGTAGTGTGCTTGCAATGATCCTTTCTCCTTTGAGCCTTTGTTATTTAATCACTTTCAATTGTTTGTAGTTGTAAGTGGTGCTGATGATGGAGGAAGGGAAGCTGTAGGATTTTACTTCTGCTCTCCCTGAAGGCAGGGAAGAGGAATGAAACTGTACGACTGGCTTTAGGAGTTTTAAATAGTGAAGTTCCTGCTCCAAGGAGCACAGGGTGTCGGGGCAGAGGCAGAGATGGTCAGAGAAAATGACCATTTCAGTTATGAGGAAGGTCTGGGGAGGGAAGGTACCTGGAACTCACCTATCTCTGCCCAGAGTTTTCCTAAAATAGAAAAAGGCAACATTATTAATTCTACCGCAGGCAGTAGATGGGGCCCTCCACACCCACTGCCCTGGGCCTTTGTGCAGGCTCTTTTCTCAGCAGCCTAGGAGCATCCTTAGCGTGAGAACCAGATTTGAATCCCGGACTTCAGGCTCATTCTTTGGCTATTGCCTGGGTTAAAGAAAGTGGAGAACCTTGGCAGACAGCAATGTCCACCAACACCCCAAACCAACCGTTACCTCCCCCACTGCTCTCTGCTCCTTTTCCTGCTGGTTCTGGGGTCACAGGGCACTCCACCTGCTGGGCTGTCAATTTGTTAATCTAAAGCTACTTCCCATCTGGAGGAGGAAAGAAGGAACTAAACATTTAGTTGAGCAACTGCTTTTTGACCGGCTCTGTATTAGGCTCTTTACATAACACTGTCCCCTACCTTCTAGGCGGGAGGGTGTTATCTGCCTGACACAGACAAGGCAGCTGAGACTTGGAGGAGGGTTCTGGTCTTTGAGCAGGACCCAAACCCAGGCTGCCCAATTCCACTAGTCAGGTCCTTTCTCCTCAGCCATGTGGGTGAAGAGGTTACTGAGTATCTGGGACGAGGACATGGGGAGAGAAGACCCCACCAATATCACCCCTTCATATACTCCAAACCCTCCTTGCTGCTTTAGCCTCTTAGGAAGGGGAAGGGGAAGGAGGCCCTATAGGCTTTGGCTTTGAGAACTCTTGGTGGAGGGGAGAAGTCTTGACATGAACGCTCTTGGGCACAAGAGGCAGCTTCAGACAGCTGGACCCCAGTCCTCGGTGTTGTATGGAGAAGGAGTCCCTACTACGTGCTAGGGACTTTTACTTACAGTATCTTTGCTTAAACCTAATAACACAGACCTCCCCGATTCTGAAGTTCATGCTCTCCCAGAAGGATGAGCTGCTGTGTATGGTACAGGGGCCAGAAAATAGGGGTTTCATTTTGAGCTCTGCCACTTAGAAGCTGTACCAGCTTGAGTAAATCTCTGAACCACTCCAGGCCTCAGCTGCCTCCTCTGTAAAATGGGGTTATTACATATCAGCCCTACCTCTTAGTGAAACTACAGGTCCTGTTACCTAAGTGATATAAAACTTATCATTATGGAGTTCTGAACCCAGGAGTCCCTCAAAAATAGATGTCAGCTGACCAAGCTCCAAAAGGCCAGGCACTTCAGGGACGGTCCCCCGCCAGCCGCCCTCCAGCCTGTACCTCGGAGCCTGCGCTGCAGGCACAGGAAGACGAGGCCCACGGTGATCTGCAGGAGGAGCACTGGCAGGACCGCGATGAGCACCAGCACGCCGGGGTTGATCCAGTAGAAGGGATCTGAAAGGCAGAACCGGGAGGCCCAGTGCTCATCCTCAGCACCCAGCAGAGCGCCCAAAGGTGACTCAGAACTGACACCTGAGCTTAGGCTTAAAGGAAAAGTGGTTGTTTCCAGGCAGGGCCGGTAGTTTAGAATGACAGGAGTCTATATATTGGGCAAGTCTTGGAGAGTTTTGAGAACCACAGAAGGGACTTAGATCTGACCCTCAAGGTCACGGGGGTACTCTGAAGGATTCCATGATGAGGAGTGACAAAATCTGACACAGTCACTGACTGCAGGATGGGGGCGGGTGTGGGAGGGGCAGTCAATTAAGAGGCTATGAAAATAGTGAAAGTAAAAATCATGAGCCTGAACTAGGACAGTGTAGGAAATCGAGGTGAACTTAAACAGGAAAAAAAAAGTCTCTTTAGTAACTTTTAAACTGAAATGTAGTGTTTCTTTCAATTATGTTTGTAGGTAACACTCTGAAACAATATGAACAGAACCTGAGACTTTGTCATCCCTAAAACGCACAACTATTTTCATATCACCATCACCGTTGGTGCAGAAATCTCAAAATATCACCTATGTTCACCGTTTTGAAATGACACTCTGATCAGGGCCACCCCATATCTTATTTAAAGGTAACCTGGAGCAACATGATTTTGATAACTATTTCAGTACAGGTATATTATTTGTTTCAAATATCCTTCTGAGAAGGGGTCCGTCGACTTTACCAGTCCGACAAAAGAGTGCATGACACAAAGAAAAGTTCAGAACCTCTGTTCTGGAGATTTTGAGAAAGTGGAATCCATGGATTTGGTAGATGTGGACTGGAAAGGATAAAGAGAGAGGGGGTAAACTTTGCCTTTCTGGCGCCATCTAATGCCCATTTTAGAGTCTGCCCTTCAGTGCCTCAAAGCTCTCCCCGTGTAGTCTCAGCTTGCAGAGACTGCTCTTTTCATTTTGTTCTCTGCTTTAGGGGGCTAAGGACTTGCCTTGTGGCTCAGTTGGTAAAGAATCCGCCTGCAATGCGGGCGACCTAGGTTCGATCCTGGGTTGAGAAAATCCCCTGGAGAAGGGAAACTCTACCCACTCCAGTATTCTGGCCTGGAGAACTCCATGGACTGTATAGTCCATTGGGTCGCAAGGAGTCCGACACGACTGAGCGACTTTCACTTACTCACTTAGGGGGCTAAATAAAGATACTGACATCAGGGTAGGCATTAAGTCACAGCAAAAAACCTCAAACTGGTTTTTGAGAAGGAGTCAAACGGACCCCTTCTCAAACTGGTTTCTTAGGTAAAAATACCACCCTTCAAGCTGCAGTTTCAGGTTCTTGTCTGTTACTTTGTCCCCCAGGAGAAAACACAGTCAACTCTGCTTTCAGAGTTTTTATCGGAAGTAACCTGGAGCAACATTATTTAGCAATTACATACTTTAGTTCCTTTCTTTGTACACCTTTTATATTTTAACAAAGGGTTAGAATCACAAAATGAGAGAAAAGCAAACATTGTGAGACTTCTGATGTAAAGAGATAAGTGGAGTATATAGCATCACCTATGAAATATGCCTGACAAAACAAATCAGACCTGAATCTGATGGTGCATATGCTACTCTATGAGTTCACAGGAAACAAAGGATATGGAACACCATGTTGAATAACATGGGAATGACATCATGGAAAACTCTACAGGGTGAATACTTACCAGTGGATCATGTTTGGATTGGATTCAAGCAAACCAACTGTAAAAATGTATTTATAAAATAATCAGAAAAATGTGAACACACACTGGGTATTAATAAGAATTTCTGTTAAAGTTTAGAGATGTCACGGTAATATTTTGGCTATGATTTTGTTTTGTTTGATGAGTTTTTCTATTTGAGACATACATTCTTGAGGATTTAGCATGACATGATCATGCTGTCTCGGATTTGCCTGAGTAATTCAGCTGGGGAGTAAGTTGATGAATGGGGTCGAGTGAAACAGGTTGTCAGTCCTTGGGTCATAACTGCTGCAGTCAGGTGATGGGAACTGGGAGGCTCATTATAATAATCTCTCTACTTCTGGAAGTTTTTTACAGTTTCATAATGAAGAGTTTAAGAAAGGTTTAGAGACAACTAGTAATAAAATCATAAAAGTGACAAGGGAAATATAAAGTTGGAAAGTGAGATTAGAAACTCTTTAGAGAAAAAGGGGAGATAATTACACCTGAGTATCCCATGGACAGAGGAGCCTGACAGGCTACAGTCCATGGGATCGCAAGAGTTGGACATGACTTAGCGCCTAAACCACCAATTACACCTGAAATTTGGCAATCACATACTTACCACATTTCAGTCCTAAATTTGTCTTGGCTTCCTGGAGCCACAGGCTAGGAGTGGTCCCTTAGAAAATACTTTTTTTTTTTTTTAAAGACTCTTAAGCATGCAGATGAGACAGGAGGAAGTGGGTTGTATTATGGAAATCTACCCAAAGGAAAACTTTCTGCCCGGGGAGGGTTTTTTTTTTTTGAGGGAGTGGGGATGGGAAATGTACTGGGGAAGGCAGTTTTTGAGCAAGGAGGAAGTTATTGAACAGGAATGAGGAAAATCAGCCACCTGGAGAGGTCCTCACTCTTAGACTCCCTTGCAGGTAAAAATCCCCCAGTGAGAACAGCTGTATGAAGAACATTCTGTGCTACACAAAGCTATTTTCACATGCCTGAAATCCCTCTGTAGAAACAGTGCTTTGTTATCCCACATACAATGCCATCTTCTGGTCCCAGCACTGCGACAGTGGCCCTTGAGACACAAAAGTGATCGATTGTCTGATGTTTGTGCTGCAGGTGGGGAGGAGGGAAGGAAAATGACCTGAGGCTCTGGCCTCAGAATATATTGATCCTCAATTATATAGCGATTAACTTTCAAATCTCCCCCTCCTTGTACACATCTTAACTCCTCAGGGATAGATAAAACAAAACAAAATTTCAAAGTCATCCATCACACAAAACATACTGCAATGAAATCCTGGAGAAAGGAAGCAATGGGGGTAAAATCTATAGGTAACATGTCTTTCTATGAATTTATTCAGACATTCGTTCTGCTTGTTTAATTCACTTGCCGCTATATTTATCAGGAATATATTCTTCAAAAATGTACCTCATCTACTAAAACACCACAAACACATCAACCGAGGAATTCATTGTAATAGGATTTGATCAATTTGACCCCTTAGGAATAGGGCTCTTGTTTATAACAAATATACAGAAAGACAATACAAAGCAAAAGAAGGGAAAAAGTCCACTTGGATACTTCAGTTAACTTTTAGATAATTCATATTCCCCTCGAGTAGCACAAAATAACCACAAATTGATTATTTTGGATCTTGCTGCCTGCATTTATCATTTTTTTAATATTTAAAATTAAAAAATTTCCCTAAGGATATCCACAAATACATTATATATACATTATGTATACATTTGCTTTGTATATATATGTATATATACAAATGCATTATATATACATTTTTATATAAATGGATAAGTATGATGATATGGATAAAGTCACAGCCCTTTTTCTTTTTCAGTTGGATCACACCCTATCCTCCTTTCTTTCCCCCAAAGTGAACCATATTAACTTTCTTATGGATGTCTTTTTATATGTTTCTCAGATATAAAACATAAGGTTTTGTTCTGTTCCCTATATTCTGTAGCTTTCTTTTGTTATCCAACAATACCTTGTGAAATGCCTCCAGGCTGTCTGGTATGGCCCTAAAGCAATTTTTTACGTGGCTCCATGATTTTCACTATATGGACAACAGTGTTTACTCAGTCACTCACTACTCTTGGGTATGGACTCTGATTCTGGCTTCTTTCTCATGCAGAATAATGATGTAGCAGACATCATGGGCATAGGAATTCCTCTGTACTGATGTGTGTTCTCTATGGGGTTAATTCCCAGGAGTGAGCTGTTTGGGTTATAGCATTTCATCTCAACTGAGAGAATGATCAGAGGCTGAAAGGAAGGTCTTGGCCATCGAACAGACAATACCTACTGACAGATGCACTACTCACCTTCCACTTTCAATTCCATCGCTGCCTCCTCTTGGTAAGAGTGATCTCGGAAGAAGCAGGTAAAACCTCCTTCATCTGAGAACCTCACATTCCGGATCCTGAGGGTCACCTTCCCCTCCCCAATGGTCTCTTTCAGCAGCTGCGTGCGGCTCCGGTATTCAGGTGCCTGCTCTTCGTCTTGGTCTTTGCCATTTCGGTAGAGATGAACCACCCTGGAGAAGGGGGGCCGATACCATCCCACCTCCATGCCTGTAGCGTTCTTTCCTGGAGATATGCGACAGGGCAATTCCACTTCATCCCCCACCAGCGCCCGGATGGGGTGCCCTGGTCCTATTACTCTGAACTGTCCTGTCCAAGACACCAAAGAAAAGAAACTGAGCGTCAGAGGGAACCTGGACAAACAAGCCCTTCGTGGGCAGGAAGGGCTGCTTCAAACAGGGAAAGAAGAAGGAGCTTGATTTTTAAACAGAATTCTAGAGCCAGGGAAAAACTCAGTTTTTCTTAAAGGTCTCTGGTTGGAGAGACACCGCGAGTTCCCTGCATAGACCATTCTAGCCAGTGGCCATCCCAGCCCATAGGAATGTAGTCAAACATTGCACAGTTTAATGGTCCCGTGGGTCTTCCTATTCAGACTTGGCCAGATTGATCCTTACTCTCCTCTTAGCCTTTTTGCTTTGGTCACTTCACTGCTACCACCTCTCTATCACTTCTCAGCTCTCTGTCCTTGTTCATACCCTGGGCCCAAATTCTTCTCTGAGATCACCCTAGAGGTGGCTCTATTTTCTTCTTCATTTCCTCTGTTTCTTCAGCCCTCTCTATAGCTCCTGGACCCTGCCCAGACATGCTCCCAGTCTTTTCATCTGTGGGATGTATCTCCTCGTCAGACTGGCAGCCACTGGGAGATGAGGCTGCTTTCTCCATTAGACCTGCAAAGATTTCCTGAAGGCATGCATAGGCCCCCTCTGTTAGGTGGCTCCTTAAGGTTGGGAATGGGTCTTCTGAGGGCAGGGCTCCTCTGTAAAAACTTATTAGTTTTTCATGTGGAACAGAACTCTCAAATGTGACAAGACACTTCAACAAACATTTATCGAGGTTTACCATGGGACAGGTGTGACTAAGCATTTTATATGTTTCATCTCATTGAACCCTGACAGCAACTCCAAAAGGTTGTTATGATATTCCCTGTTTGATAGGTGAGAAATCAAAGCTGGAGAGATAGGTAAGAACCAAGTTCAGGGAGAGCCCTGAGTTAAGGTCGCATGATGGAGTTGGGGTCCCTTCTGAAGGCTGTAGGTTGGCACTGAAGGCCTCTGAGGGGAACCACGTCAGCACATCTATGTTTCAGAAAGATCACTTGCAGGCAACTTGAGGATGTGTTGAAGGAGGTGAGCCCGGGGAACTAGCCTTTCTGTTCTCAGAGTCTCCCCAGGGCAGGAATAAAGAGAAATCTTACCTGCAGAGCTGGAAGTCAACTGGAGGAGGAGGAAGAGGAGGGAGGGGAGACAGCTGGGCAGAGAGGAGCTCAATAAACTGGCCATCTCCACTGTCGGTGGGGACAGAGAGCCCCTGCAGCAGGGTCAGGCCAAGGAGAGGCCCTTGGGGGGCAGGTCCCCACCCCTGAAAAAGTCCTCGGGGAGGATCGGGGCGGGCAGAGCTGCCCTGGCCCTGCCTCCTCCCCAGCAGAACCACAGCTGTGCTCCCAGGCACAGCCCCACGTCATCCCTGCCAGGACTCACACAAAAGGACCACAGAGCCAGGGGATGACCAGGGTTTGCCTTCCCCACCCCCGCAGAGCTGGAGCAGAGGCTGCCTGGTACTGGGCCTTCCTCCCCCACTCCCTCCCAGGGGAGCAGCCAGCCTTCCAGGGGGCTTCTAGGATCTGACCTGTTGGGATGGATCACTCACTGGACCTCAGGCTGAAGCTTGTCCAAGTGATCTGCAAGGTCTCTTCAACCCCTCGCCTCCAGGCGCTAGCCAAGGGAGAGAGATCTGTGATGGATTTTTTAAAAAATGAAGAAGAAACATTTAGACTTAGTTTCCTATTTCTACCATCTACTGTCATCACCAGGCCATTCATTCCTCTTGATGTCTGACCTCCCTCTCTCTCACCACAAATCCAAATGCCCTTCCTTATGTTCTGATGTGTTGCTTGGGTTTAGTTAGCTTCTCCCTCCCAAAGAATATTAATACAGTTTGGAAAGTCACAAGTCGAGTGTCACGAGTTGATGGCCACCTGTGCTTGGAGAGGCAGGCATGAAGAAAGTATTATAAGATCTGCAAAGTCAGTGACTGTCAATCATCACAGGCATTGAGGACAGACCAGCAACTAGTATGCATCCTCCAGCCGGCGCATCACTCTCCAGTTTCCTCTGTGTCACAAAGAAAGTGAGATCTGGGATGGAACCTGCATGGAACAGACCACGGGGTCGCAAAGAGTTGGACACTGAGCAACCAAATAAACAAATAAGAATCCATTTTCCTTGCATTGGACACTCAGAGCCCCAACCACCGGATGGCTAAGGTAGTCCCTGCGAGCTATTATTTGAAGTCACTCTACCTCTGAAGAGTTCACTTCCCTTGCCTCCATGCCCTCGACTGCCTCACATCTTTGAAAAGGGGGTGGGTTTCTGGAGCTGGGGTGACCAGTCCCTTGGATGACATGGTCTCTGGACAAGGGGAGAGAATGGGGAAACAAAGCCGGTGGTGTTGCCATTTATAGAAATCACTATAGGAACCTCTGGGTTTGCTGAACATGGGGTTGTGTCTAACAACAACCCTGTGCTGTTGGTCAGGCTGGTCGTGACAGTCAGCAGTTAATTGTTACTTTAATTTTGTGTGGCATATGTTATATGCTCTTACAAATATTCTTCAGTTGTCTCTTGCTCTCCTCAGTAGTTTCCATTTGATCCACACCTCTCACCAGGTCTGATAACAGTCTGTGTACACAGTCATGTATGCAGAGTGACATGTTATAAATATGTTAATATATATGTTAATCAACACACTATCCGTATGTGAAATAGTAAGCACTCAATAAATGGGAGCTTACCTAGATGTTCCTTAATATCAGTACTGCGTAAGATTTTTTTGAGAATGTGTAAAATAAAGATCATGCACTGTTTGCTTCTTATGTTTACTAAATAATGCATGAAGTGAAGTGAAGTCGCTCAGTTGTGTCCCACTCTTTGCGAACCCATGGACTGTAGCCCACCAGGCTTCTCTGTCTATGGGACTCTCCAGGCAAGAATACTGGAGTGGCTTGCCAGTTCCTTCTCTGTAATAATGCATAATCCCACATTAATACATAATATAGCCCTCTTGAAGTTTTGCAAATAGATTCTTATTTGTTTATTTGGTTGTTCAGTGTCAACTCTTGGCAACCCCATGATCTGTCCATGAAATTCTCCAGGCAAGAATGCTGGAGTGGGTTGCCATGCCCTTCTCCAGAGGATTTTCCCAACCCAGGGATTGAGCCCATGTCTCCTGTATTTCAGGCAGATTCTTTACCATCTGAGCTACCAGCTACTAGGTTACATATAAATGTATTCCATTAACTTAAATTAATAAATATTTATTAGAAATCATGTGTGTCAATCCTTATATTAGGCTCTGATTGTGAAAGTTTCAGCAGGACAAAGAAAAAGTTTTTTTTTTTTTTTTTTTCTTCTTTGGCCCATACCATGAGGCTTGTGGGATCTTAGTTTCCTGATCATGGTTGAACCCGGACCTCCTTCAGTGGAAGCCTGGAGTCCATGCCACTGGAAAGCCAGGGAATTTCCAAGAAGATTCTAGCTTTCTCTATGGTTTCACTCTTGATATGACACAGTGGCTTTGTTTTCATTTTTGTTATTTAATATTGCATTTCTTCAGGCATCAGGGTGAATGCAGGCCTTCCCATGTGCCTGGGGTCCTGCCCTCCACTGGGCACAACACATGTGTTTGCCTGACTCCACGTCTCTCCTGTGCCCAGGCTCCTGCTAGGGGGCACTGAGGGTGGCAGTGGTTCCTGGGGGGAGTTGAAGACATCTGAAAACCAGTCCTGGGGAGATTAAGAAGCGAGATCAAGCTTGAATCTAGGCCCCAAACCCTCAGCACACATTCTATTACCCCATTGGACTTCACTTACAAAACACAAATTGAAAGAAAAGTGTTAAGAATTTCAAGACAGCGACACAGAGGGCAATTCCCTGGTGGCCCAGTGGATAAGACTTGATGCTCCCAATGCAGGGGGTCTGGTTTGGTCCCTCTCAGGGAACTAGATCTTGCACGCTGCAACTAAAACCCAGAGCAGCAAAAAAAAAAAAAAAAAAAAGATAGTGATACAGAGCATTAAAGCCCAAACACAGTGTTCCCTCCTAATCATGGGGTCCCGTGCAGCTGCGCTGGTTGATTGCTCACGAAGTTCACTGCCTTCTATACAGGTGCAGTTGTTAGCTCAAAGAGCATGTGCAGTTGCAGTTTTAATAAATTGCCCTGCACAAAGCTGTATACTCTGTACCTGTGAACACACTATAGCTCAGCTTCCTCCTCTGCAAGTGGAGGAGAATGACATCTGTCCCATTAGGACTGTGAACAGAATTACAGGAAGGAACCCACGGGAACTGTGAATGGTACACAGTAAACACTCTGTAAGTGCCCTTATTTGCTCTCACTAGCCGTGATTTTTTTTCTCCTAGAGCTCCCCCTAGTGGTACAAATATCAGGAGGAAATTGATATTTTCCGCTTTTGTGGCCTTATTTTCACAGTATGCTGCTGCTGCTGCTAAGTCGTTTCAGTCGTGTTCGACTCAGTGCGACCCCATAGACGGCAGCCAACCAGGCTCCTTCCTCCCTGGGATTCTCCAGGCAAGAATACTGGAGTGGGTTGCCATTTCCTTCTCCACCCATGTGCTTAAACTGGTTTGCAAGTTCCTAGGAGATTCAATAACTGATAGACTGTAGAACGTCTAATTTCTATCCATTTAGCCCAATGTTTCATGGGTCTACAGAAGAAATGAGAACACTGATCTGAGTCAAGCTGATGCAGGCATCCAGCAAGTGAGTCCTTGTAGCAAAAACTTTATGTTTTATCTATCAATATTTCTTCTATGCTTGTGTCTTCTTTGTTATTATTCTGAATTTCACCACCAATATTTTCATTTTTCAAAAAGAAAAACATTCAACTTGTTATGAACCAGGTGAGTCAAGCATTTAGGCTTGCTCCCCACTCTGCCCCCCACCCCATAAATGGGAATGAATTTGTGCTGATTTTGAGCAAAATGTAATGAGTTGTCCTATGGAAGAGGCATTAAGCTGTTCTGAGGCTCCTCTTGGAGTAAAACAGGTGCAAGTCAGAGCTAGAGTTCAGTTCAATACAAAGGAGAATCTTCTCTCCATCAAACTGAGGGAGAGAGCTGGCATCCCATTCCTGGACGTCCAGCCAACTTAGAATGGCAGGTTAGGCTAGGTAACTCTAAGATGTTTTTCGTAGCTGTACGACCTTACGAGAATATACATTTTCTTCTTTCTTCCCCTTTCCTCACTTCCTTCCTACCTCCCTGATGCCTTCACTTTTCGCCAACGCCCACTAAAGATGTTGCACTAAAGACCCAGGAGGCGCTCCCAGTCTGCCTCGCAACAGGTGACGTATACGGCTTTTGCGCCAAGAACTGGTTGCCAGGAGCCCTTGGGGGGCGGGGAATAAGGCAAAAGCGAGGCGCCCTCGGACCGAACAGTGACATTGAGTTCCAACGGGCAAAGCTTTTCTTGCTCTTTCAGTTTAGACCCACCTCCCTTGGTTACCTAACTTCCTCCTCTGTCTCCTTCCTCTGCTTTTGTCCAGCCTGGATTAAGGAGCCCTTAAATGTTGCTGGGCCAATAGCTCAGGAGAGGGAAGATCCAGCTGGCCATTCTGGCACCTGGCCCAGTCCCTGAGAGCACCCACCTGCGAATGGCCCTTCTGTCACTACGCGGTTGCTCCTACAAAGGAAAACGCGGTGGCCATTTTGGAGCTGAGAGACTGTCTTTTTGTCCATCATCTTAGAGTCTGGCAATGACAGTTTTTTCTTCTTTTTTTCACCAGAGAAAACTATACGGAGAGAGAATTCTGTTCGGAATTCTTACAACTTTTTCAGAACTCCCAATATCCCTATTCCAGGATATGACAGACTGTCTCTCTCCCTCCCCCCCCCCACCCCCATATATATGCCTAGATGCTCAAGTGCAAATTCCAGCTCCATGCAGCTGATTGATAAACATGCCAGACTCCAGTTTACTACCCTGTGGGAGAATCTGTTACCTTGGACAGAAAAAGAAACCTCAGCTTCTTTAACTGTTTTGGGGTTGATGTGAGGATTGAATGAGACAAGGTATGTAAGGTACTTAGGTCTGTGTCTGGCTCTCAAAGGCCATAAACACCTTTTGTGCAGGGCCTGCCTGGGCATAGAAAGTCCAGCCATGAGAGCAGGACTCTATCTTGTTTTCCCTTCATCCTCCTAGGGTGGAAGAATGAGGGATACATAATAGAATATGGTTGTGTAAAGAATAAATGAAAAACTGG